CGCTTTAAAAAGATCTAACTGTGCATTGAAGCTCTATCATCACTTGTTGTTTATAAAACTTCTAACACATTGAGAACTGTGCATTGAAAATAAGATTTAATTTCACATGTAAGAAACATCATTTATATGGGCAAGCTTTAATCTTAACATAGCAAAAACCAACTTAGTCTTATTGAGCAAGAAGCTTTACAGCATGCATGTTCTTGCATTCTCTTTATTTGTTCAAAACTTGTAGCATATTAAGAACTGTTTTCCAGCATTGCAAATAAGATTTAATTTCATACACAAGAAACATATTTCATATGGGCATGCTATATATTTCATTTTTGCATGCTTTACATAGCAAAAAAACAACTTTGTCTTATTTAGCAAGAAGCTTTACAGCAAGCGTGTTCTCTCATTCTCTTTATTTGTTTAAAACTTCTAGAACATTAAGAACTCTCAATTTGCTTAGATGAACTAACACAGTTACTGTTCATTATCAGCTTTAAACTGATCTAGCTGTGCATCACTTGTTGTTTATAAAACTTCTAAAACATTAAGAACTGTCTTTCCGCATTGCAAATAATATTTCATTTCATACAGAAGAAACATATTTCATGTGGGCAAGCTTTAAACTTTACATTGCTAGAAACAACTTTGTCTTTTTGAGCAAGAAGCTTTACAGCATGTGGGTGCTTTCATTCTCCTCATTTGCTTAGAAGCTCTAACACTGTATTAGTGTTCATAATTTTTATTTTAATTTTTTTAATATTTTTTTTATAAAAGGTCTAAACTGGTATTGCTGTGCATTGAAGATCTAACATAAATTGTTTTGCATAAAACTTTTAACACATTGAGATCATCATTCAGCTTTGCAAAAAAGATTTAAATTCATACAGAAGAAATATATTTCATATGGGCATGCTATAATCTTTACATAGACAGAATCATAGCCCATTTATAGACTAGTCATCAATTAGACCGCTATTAAACGATTACATATATACGTCTAATAGACAACAAAATGGTCTATTTGGTTCAGATTTTAAGAAAAATAAAATTTTTGACAACTGATAAAAATACAAATACAAAATGATAAAAATACAAAAGAATTAATGACAAAATAAAATGTTATAAGTACAATACACTTAAATATAAATATTATGACTTAAAAAATCTGGAGTTTTTAACAATGAAAAAATAAAATATTTTAAATATCTTAAGATATTTAAAAGAAAAAAAATTGAATACAAATCAAGAGCATGTTATCACACTTAACATTAAAACATTACGGATAAATGACAACATAAAAAAAGATTAACCCTTTTGTTGGTTTACTTTTAACAAATAAAACAACCAACAGTGAACTTAAAGGAAATGATTAATTATTGGTTTTATTTCTTGTTTAAAATGCCTCCCAACTGCATTCCTCAAGTCCAACTCTGTTGCTGCCGGGAAGTTGGTCATCACAGCATCTGCCAAATAAGAAAAGAAAAAAAAGCACAAGAAAAGCTTGACATAATTTTTTACTTTAACTGCACTAATTGTGACAGAGTCATTCTCATTTGCTTGGATGCCAACTAAAAATAAAACGAGATATATATTGTGTATCAGTGTGTTAAAAAAGAGAGAAGCTCTCTGGTAAATATTGTGTGTTTATGCACATACCTCTAATGACCGCGAAAAGTGCAGTCTTTCCAAATGCCTCTTTCAGCAGCGGACCACCCCCTTCATGTTGAATTTGGACATGAGGGAATTTTTTTTAAAACCCTAAAATATAATACAGATTGAGGTGGTTAACAATTGCAGACAAAGTTTGACATTTCAAAATGACCAGTAAAGGAATTATTTTTTTAATTTCTGATTTGCGTTGTAATTTATTGAGTTATTTGATTAATGTGGCAAGATTTGTAGGCTTTACCTGTCCAGCATCCTTCTGGCACTGTCTTTGAGGTTTCTTCCTTCAACTCTGTTAAAAAGTAGCCCAGTACACACATTAACCTCAATTGTACATGGAATAATAAATTCACCCCTACCGCTTTATTACATTATGTTTTCTGTTTGTACTGTTTAGGTTTTAATGCTGCATTGCACATCTGAGCTATTTGCACTTATTATTTGTATTCTTAAGCTTTACTATCAATTTGGAAGTTTCAAAATAAATCTTATTGTAACGTTACTTGTACAATGACAAAGATATTCTGTTCAATTAGCTCAACATTATGTTTTCTGTTTGTACTGTTTAGGTTTTAATGCTGCATTGCACATCTGAGCTATTTGCACTTATTATTTGTATTCTTAAGCTTTACTATCAATTTGGAAGTTTCAAAATAAATCTTATTGTACTTGTACAATGACAAAAATATTCTATTCAATTAGCTCATGCTCTCTCTGTATAAAACAAGCCATTGTTCAGTAATAAATTCAATATAATAATTATAATAAATGATGGACTTTGTCAAAGATGAGAGCTTTAGTGAGGAAATTTGATTTTGGGGAGTTTTTTATTTTTTATGTTTATTTTTTACCATTGCTGCCAGGATCTTTTCCAGATGTTGAAACTCCTCCTCAGTTTCTCCAATTCTTCTGAGTGTGTTCACTGTATAAATTAATATGGATTAATCTTTGTCAAAGCTGTGTTTGTTCTGTTGTTTGCTCTTTGCTCTTCTTGCGCCGTTTTAAAATCGATTGAGTTTGTAAACACATACAAATGATAAAACTTTTACTCTATTAAATTTTGCAATTAATCCTCTGAACACATGCGTGCTGAACCGTGGGCCTAGTCATGGATCACTATCAACTACGATCTGCTTCCTTCACTAAAATGTCAGGGTTCCTAAACATGATAACAAATAATATAGATAAATAATGAACGAGTCAAAACGAAAACACAGATACTTACAAGACCAAGTAGGAATGTCCTTCATCGTTTGTTGTTTGTCCGCTGCTCTCCGACAAGTAAACTTGGTGCTCGCTCGTGTAAAAACAAAATTCAAAACACAACACTGATCTCTAACTCTCATGTCTTGCTTTGCCAGTATTCATGTCTCAGTAGGGCTACAATTGCCATCTAGCGGTTGGGAATTGTAATTGCTTTTTTATTTATAAAATGAAAGACAGCCGAATATCAATAATATCATATAATGTGTATGAATGTAACATAACAGCTTGTGGGATGCATGACATCATATTATCAAATGCAAGTAAACTTTTGAAACATTTAAATTAGCATTATTTTTGGCATAATAAATAATGCTATATTTAATAATGCTGTAAAATAATTAAATAAAATAATGCTAATTTAAATGATTCAAAAGTTTACTTGCATTTGATTAGAAGCTGCGTGGGGGAAAATTACATGTACAATTGTAAGCCTATTTTGGCCATGCTCATCGCTGGTCTGGTTACTGGTATAGGGCTATAGCCAAGCCATTAAAATTAGACCACAGATTGCCTCGATTTCGCCAGGTGGGCTAAACGCAGACTACACCTAGCCCGTCCAATTTACGAACATGATGGGATATCAACCATCTCATGTGCTGCCTGGCCAAAAACTACAGTGAATCAGGTTTGACAATAAGTGGGCTACAGATAGCCGCTCGCACTACGAGCTAAATGGTGGCTACGCTCATGCTACGTATTGAACATGTCAAAGAAATGAAACCAAACACCCCGTAAACGCTGTTGACTTTGCTTACATGATGGAATATCATACATCTCACAAGTTATTTTGCCAAAAAACAACATGAAACCAAATTCAAGGTTATTTGGGCTAGAAGTGGGTTACACATACCCGGACTATATCGGGTCTATACTTAACCGAGACGTTGAAATGACGGCTATTGCTTGCAGTTAACTGTCTTACGGCATTGAAAATAAGATTTCATTTCACATGTAAGAAACATATTTTATATGGACAAGCTTTAATCTTAACATGCAGAAACTGACTTTCTCTCACTGAGAAATAATGTTATTCTACCCGTTCTCTTCAGTTTGCAAATAACACGACTTTACACTTTCTAATTGCGTGTAATGCATACGCCAAATGCCAATTTTGCGTGCATATGATACGCCAATCCTTCACATTAACTTTGGTGGAGAGCAGATGCATCCAAATACCACGCGTCATCTTCAGCGGCAGTGACATGACCAGCGAGGGTCCGTTCGCCCAGTTCACGTATGGGTTCAAATTATGGAACAGTGGTCTGCTCAGTTAGCACAGCTGCTAACGATAGCCTACCATTGACATGACATGACAGCACAATAAATCAACCAACCCAGTATCGCGTGATAATCGTGATCATGTAAAAGTCCACACATTTACCATATTTTTACCATAGTAGCCTAACTGTTGCTCGACCTTGTCATGTGTAGCCAATGCACAGTAACTACAACATATTTACCATGCTTCTCCCACTGTAACCGTAGTTTTACTGTGGTATTTGTAGTTACTAAAGCCTAATAACCACAGCACTTACTATGGGCTTACCTCAGTAATCGTAGTTTTACTGTGGCATTTGTAGTTACTAAAGCATAATAACCACAACACTTACTATGGGCTTACCTCAGTAATCATAGTTTTACTGTGGCATTTGTAGTTACTAAAGCATAATAACCACAACACTTACTATGGGCTTACCTCAGTAATCATAGTTTTACTGTGGCATTTGTAGTTACTAAAGCATAATAACCACAACACTTACTATGGGCTTACCTCAGTAATCATAGTTTTATTGTGGTATTTGTAGTTACTAAAGCACAATAACCACAGCATTTACCATGGTTTTACCACAGTAACTGTGTTTTTACTCTATTTGTAAAGCACAGTAACCACAGTGCTTGCCATGCCTTTAATACCTTTTTGTGAAGTCATTGTAATTCAATATTTTTTCTGTCTTGCAGTTACATCATATCACATACTCCAGCAGCTCTTTGAATCCATCTCTTGTACAAGTCTCTCTCTCTCTCTCTGCTAGAATTAACAGGGAACTTCAACTCGATGATCCCAAGCTGATATCGAAGAAGCTGTCAAGGAGGCTGAACAAGTCCTTCAAAGGTTCAACCCTTCACAGGTAATGTTGAAGACATTTAGTTAAAACTGATTTGCTTTAATGAACGCATCCTTATATTATGTGTTAATCAAATATTTTGGTCACAGATAATTTTTAACACACTGTCTCAACATGTTTATATTTCCCTTCATTTCAGCTGAAAGGGAAGACCAAAGCAAGGCCTGTTATGGGATTTGAATTTGACCATCTTGTGCGTTTATGGAGAAGACCAAAAGCTGCAAAGGCAAACACTTCCAATGGTACGTCTGTGTCGGTCTGAGCACTTTGACTGAACTTTACTGCAAAGACATTTTGCACAGCATTTGATGTTTCTTAAACTTTGGTTTACATACCCCACAGCCCCCTCAGGAAGGACCCCCAGAAAAGTGTCATGTAGAAGTAGTAATAATTCATACAATTTACCAAGTCTGCAAATTCATATGATACTGCACAAGCATACTCGTACAAAATTCTA